GCTGCTGGCGGCCCAACTGGCGCCCGCTGGCGCCGCCGCCTACGCTGCCACCAAGCTCGAGGAAATGCTGGGGCCTGCGGAGGGCGCCGCCCGCGAGCAGCTGGGCGCGCGCCTGCCCCACGCCCGCGCCTGGCTGGCGGCGGCTTCCGGGCAGCTGCCGCAGGTGGAGCAGCTGGCAGGCCTGCACCCTCCCGGCCCCGGCGCCGCAGTTGCAGAGGAGGCTCGGCAGGCGCAGGCGCTGCCGGCGCTCCGCGCCGGCCTGCGCTCCGCCCCCGGCGGCGACGCCTCGCCTGGCGGTGCCGTAGGGCGGCAGCTGCTCACGGCGCCGGTGGCGGCGGCCAGCTGGCGGGGGCTGGTGCGCCTGGGGCTGGTGCAGCTGGTGTCAGGTGAAGCGCTGCTGGGGGTGCGCTGTGCTGTGCTGCACTGTGTTTGCCCTGCTGTGCCCTGCTCTGCTTTGCCCTGCACTGCTCTGCTGTGCAGTGTGCGCCAGCCCCGTGGCACTCTCCTTTCCGCCGCCGGCCGCTGACGCCTGCCGCCGACCGTCCGCCGCCCTCCCGCGCATGCCCCCGCCCGCAGGCGAGGGCGCGGTGGCCCGCCTGCCCCTGCCAGAGACGCTTCGCCTCGACACGCCCCGCCTGCACGCGGCGCAGGTGCGCGCTTGCCTGTGTGTGTGTGTGCCTGCCTGTGTGTTTGTGTGTGTTGGTTATGATGTCATGCTGTCTGCCTGTGTGCGTGTGTGTGTGTGCGTGTGTGCGTGTGTGGGTACGGATGTGCGCGTGTGCGTTGGGGGGTACCTGAAGCCATCTGCCTGCCTGCCTGCCTGCTGTCAACATGTCTGGTCCCGCCTGTTGATGATCCTGCACCGTACCGCCTCCCGTACCATACCGCAGGCCGAGTTCCAGCGACTGCTGGTCCTGGCCGCCTGCCTGATGCTGGTGCGGCAGGGGGCCGCCGCCGCGGGGAAGGTGCGCTGCCTGCGTGTGTGTGTTGTGTGTGTGCGCGTGTGTGCGCGCGTGTGGGTGTGTGGGTGTGTGGGTAGCCTCATTTGCCTGCCTGCCCGCCCGCCTGCCTGCCTGCCTGTTGCCTGCCAGCTCCAGCTCCCTCGCCGCACCCGCCCTCGGCTGCTGCGCGCCTGCAACGATTTGCAAGCGGCCCAGCGCTGCTCTCACCAGTCCCTCGCCTCACACCCCTCCGCAGCCAACCAAACCTGGTCGCTGCCCCTTACCCACCCCTCTGCCCCGCTGAACCTCTGCTCCACCCACCCACCCGCCCGCCCACCCCGCTGCAGGCCTTTGGCGTATCCCAGGCGGCGGCGGCCAAGCGGCGGCTGGGCGCGCTGCTGGCCGACCCCGCCATGCGCCTGCCAGACCTGGCGGCTGAGGTGGCGCGCCTCGCAGGTGCATGCACGTCGTGTGTGTGTGTGTGTGTGGTGTGTGGTGTGTGGTTTGTGTGTGCTGGCTGTGTGTGCACGGCGTGCGCAGCGGGGCTGGCCAACTGGGCCTCTCCCAGAAGCAGGCACGCAGGCGTGGCGCTGTCTGCCGCTTGCTCGAGTTGTAGGCTGGGCTTAAACCGGCTCTGAGCCTGCCCGGACCCACGTGCCGCCCGCTGCAGGCGGGGAGGCGGGCGCGGCGCGGGAGCGGGCTGCCCAGGAGTCGATATCCCGCCTGCTGAGCCGCGGTGGCGGGGCGATGAAGGTGGGCGGTGCATATGTGTATGCGTGTGTGAGCGTGTTGTGTGTGTGTGTGTGCCTGTGTGTGTCGCCTGCGTGTGTGTGTGTGAAGAGGTTGGCGTGTGTGATGTGGGTGCGCGTGCTTCTTCGGGTTGCCGGGGCGCCGCCGCCGCCCTTTCTG